GATCCATATAGTAACAATCACTGACTTCACATTGGAGTTGAAAATCCTGATCTTATTTTTGATGCTGAGTGCTGTTGACCTCCACACAGAATTCAGAGTAGTGAAAGCTTCCCTGCTTCCCCGATCCTTGCTGATTTGATATCCTCATCAATTCTGGCCGCCTATAGTTGAAACGATGCTTCACAGATAGGTAAAAGAGGTTGTTTCTTTCAGGTTTCTCCCATTTATGCTAGTCGTTGTCTATTGTTGCTGCCCAGGAATCTTCATCATCTCTGTTTTCTCTATGTTTACCTGAAGTGCTATCTTTGATCCCTTTTTCTGCCAACTTGTTGCTTTTTACTTGCATATATTCCAGTTTGTGGGAAATCAGACATATATCATCGGCGAAGTCCAGATCCTCCAAGTTTTTTGTGTGAGTCCATTTTATGCCTGTTTCCTCGCTGCCCACTGTCTGTCGCAAACAGTGATAAAGTATTATTAACTGAATGACGTTTTGAGCACAATTTATTGCTCATAGTCATATTGTAGCGACATAAGATAAAGGCCAGCCAAACAGATCGTTTATTCAGAAAATCAAGAGATATTTATAGAATTTGATGTCCACTATTATTCTTTATTGTTAGCAGAAAAGCAACGTCTTCTGACTGGTTGTTTTCCTGCTGAACGTTATTCTGTCATCTGTTTGTTGCTGTTTCTAAGACAGTTTGTTGATATATCTGCGAGTCGTATCTGCCCATGCTAAGTCTGCTGTGATTGGTTGTTGAGTTCCTCAAGGTTAAGCTTTGTTCATGTTTTTTCTCATGACCAAGATTTGGGACATAAACATTGACGTAAATTACTGTCTACCAATTTTGGCTAGCAGACAGCTGTCACCACAACATGAGTTTATTGAAACAAAGGCACTATAAACGAACAACATGGTCTTCAATTAGATCTTCTTCGAGCTTTACTCGAATGTACATAGCTTTATGTACAGAAATTTAACAAATAACGGTGATTTTGTCGACCAACAGTAATAAGTTTTAAGTGTTTTGAACGTAATTAATAACCATGATTATAACGGTAGCAAAAGTAGTGATAATAAGGACAATGGTAACAAAAGTACAAGGAAGCTATACAGATTGTTACTTAGAAGTAACCTGACCTATCTGCGCAAAATAGGCACTCTCATCCTCTTTGTTTACCCTGACCTACTATAGGGTCAGTGGGGAAATAATCATCCATATTTTCATGTCATATTATGCCTTCTTATTCCTTTTCACCTAGTTCACTTTACTCCGTTATTACTTTTATTATGTGTCAGCCTTTCGTAGTTTACACTAAGTTTATTACGTCTCTAGTATTTTATTACAGTTCACAACTTAATCTCTTTATTTTATCACTGACACTCGATACCTGTTAGCCCTTCCTTGAAATTACATTCATTGTTCCCTATACGTTGTTGGTATTTGTTTGCAAGTGTTTTGTGTGTGTTGGCAGCACAGTGTTTAGGACTCTCGCCGACCATGCACATGGTCAGGGGTTCGATCCCCTGCCGACGCACACCCGATATCAATGGTCAGCCTGCAAAATTTGGACTACCAATATAACATGCTGAAAATTCCATACTTGTACCAAAAATACTGTGTGGTTTCAAGCTATAATCAAAAATCAAATCATTTTCCTCTTGCACCACTGAATATAACTTACCGCTTAATAAAACTAACATTCTATTGACTATAAATACATTAGTATGCCACCCTTTTGTCTATTCACATTTATGTTCTTATGTTCTGAATGACTGCACATTTTTATGTACGTTTATTTGACAATATCAAAACAATTAGTTCCCTTTATGAATTTAGACAAAACAATAACAAGACGTAATTTGTCTGAATCGTGTAATGTATTTGTGCAACACATTTCGAACAATCTAATCACACACGGACTTGTCATAGGAATGTACGTATGAAATTAATAGAGAGTTAAGAGGTGATAGAATAGATTTAGGTCAAGTTAAAAGGACATACTGAAGGTGAAAATAACAATGAAGATCACTAAACCAAATAAGAGAGGTAATAGTACATCTACTCTGGCTGGTATCAAAACAAAGCTTACCAAGGAAGATGGTTTAGTGTGATGACGAATTGTTGCTTTGTCCGCATCAGGGTGGTTTAAACTTCCTAACTGCCAGTTATGGCTTCCACAAGCTTTAGGATACGCCCCAAAAAAACGTTTTATAGACAGGTTTAAGAGATTTGTAGACGTCAGTTTTATGTCCTGTCTCTATAATGTGTTTCACAGTAGAGGACCTGGGTCTCCTGTTCTCACCATTAATGGGTTCTGAAGATTCTATTTGTTTCTGGAGCCATTTAGAAACATGCTCTGAAGCCAGTCTTAACTTGCAGAGATCGATGAGTCCTCCCTATATATGTGTGGCCACACTTACATTCAAACTGCTAAATACAGTGGGATGCGACATTACTTTTCGCATGTTCAAAGGGCTTAGATGGATGTATTGGCTTCACATTCTCAATTATCATGATTTTAGTTACATAAAAGGTCTTTACAACCACAGCAGCGGTCACTCTTTGTCTAGTTTTCAAGCTACTATGATCCCCCATATAGGGTAGCTTGATGTACACGTCTTTCTTAGGGGCGAGTTGGAGAGTGGGTGTCTCGGTGTTCTGATTACTTTATATCTCCTAATGAACTTGTCTGGATAATTATTATCAACCAGAGATTGTATCAACTTTCTTACTTCCTCATCAAGTAAGTCTTCGGTGCATATTCGTTGGATTCTACTGAAGAGGCACCTCACTTACTAAGGCTCTTTTGTACCGAACAGGGCAGAAACTGTGATAATTAAGATACTATCCTGTCCAGGTAGGTTTTCTATAAGTAGATCGTTTCATTGACCCATCAAGCCGTCGATTTAGTAATATATCTAGTAAGGATAAACAATTATCTTCCTCTTCTACAGATGTAAGTGATATGCTATTCTGAACTTCATTCATTCGATTTAAAATTGAGATGGCAGAACAAGGCTTTATCACTTATGATTACAATGTCGTCTACATACCTTCTATAAATTGGTGCATTTTCGATTAAATCCTCCGATAATCTTTCAATATGTGACATATAGATATCGCTAGAAGGGGTCCCAACAGACTTCCCTTAGCATCACCATCAACCTGACGGAAACAGTTGCCTTCAAAGGTAAACCTAACATTGTTAGTACATAGAAGTATTAAATCCCTTAAATAAGATGGAGGGAATGGGTGTTTATGCTGGTGGCGATAAGGACAACGAAGATAGTATGTGTATTTGTGTACAATTGAATAAATAAATTAGATCGAATCCTACAAATTATGTGATGCTAAAAGGGAAGGGGATAAATAATCATAGTGTAAATAAATATTACAAATGTACAGAAGAAATGAAGAATAAGGAGTGGTGGGAAGTTTAATTAGAATTCACCTAGGCTAAGGGAGACACAGAGGTAGAAGAAACTTCTTTTCTGTACAAAGACTGTAACTGTTCTCTCGAAGTTCCATAGCTTCAGCTTCGCTTATGAAGCAGGTTCGAATTACATACGAAAGGTTACATGGAGTGTGACAGATAACCTTGAAGGCACTTCATCTGTCTACTTGGTGACCGCTATCAATCAATCAAATGAGTCAAAATAGAACTTCTTATAGATTTCATTTGGCTTTTTCTGAACCATGAAAGAAGATGCTCAATATTTTTCGCCTGTCTTGTTTTTGATATTAGCAATGGGAATATTTAGTAATTTCACATTGGTTTATTCACATGGCTTCATAATTTGCAAATTAATATTGATTATTAGGAATAAATTGTGCTCGAAACGCCACACAGTTGTTCTTGGTACTGTATCACTATGTGTTATATCAAATAAACTTACCTTATATGAAGTAATCGCATAACCAGTTGAAATATCAAATGAGTAAGATTGAATAGATTCTGAATGTGTTATTCATGGAGAGATTTACAGATCAACCATTCTGCTACACTTAATCGTACAGGATTAAATTTAGATTTTTGTATGGTAGTACGATTTGCTTTATTTCTCGTGTTGTTGGCTGAATCTGAAAATGTCTCACTACGCTACGCTTCACGCGTGTTGGTTCAACTAGTCCACAAACTGAATTCTCCACTGGAAATAGTGTCAATACTTGAGTACCAATGAGATGCTCACTAGCGACTGGCCCTATTCAGGTAGGCAGTTAGTTACCTGGGTTTTAGTGGTATGTCGTGACCAGTAGGGTGTAGTAGGTCGGACATTGGCTAGCCGTCGCGCTATGTCGTGAATTGGCAGAAGTTAGAATTCATGAGCTGGCCATTAGATTGGGCACCAATGGCTTAGTGGTCTACGAGCTAGATCGCCTTGTAACCAGGGGGCGCTGGGTTCGAACCCTGTTAGTGGGTGCGTACTGTTGGAGAGTCCCAAACTAGGCTGAAGAAACAGCTGCCCAGCACTCTTAGCTTGTTTTCCAATGGTTCTCTAACCGACGTCAGCTCATGATGAAATCCTGTAAACAGTGAATCAAATGCCTGCAAACCAATACTTGAATAATGTCAACTAACAGCTGCAGAAATGCATTAAATACGTATGCTAAAATTTGAATAATTTACGGAATCTCAAGTTCAACTTTTTCTCAAAAATATTTTCTATTTCCTTCTTTACTCCACTTAACTTAAAAAGTATTGATTTCATTCAAGAGGTATTCTTGTTCATAATAAGCGATGTTCAAAGGTAAACAATTCAATAAAGAAGCTACAGTAGATATAACAATTTGTTTGATAATAATAAACCACTACACTAAAGTCCTGCAATGACCAATCGAGGAACTCCTGTCTATCATAACTGTATCGAATTCCGCCTATCAAATTTGAATATGACCAATAAACAGTGAAGTAGGAGTGTAGAAGTGTAAACCACCAGGGGACTGATATTCGTGCTGCATGAATAATTTATACCACATGATAATATAAGTGTGGTAATTTACACACAAACACTCATGCACATGCACACACACTTTGAACACAACGACACAATTAAATGCTGAATTATATCATTATATTCATTTGAAACGGACTTTGATCACTCCAAACATATATATCTATCTTTATGTTGCACAATCACTCCACTCTGTTTAGCCTGATCAAGTCAAGAAATCCATTATGAATAAATGCTCAGGCTGTTTATTGCTGTTGTTGTTGCTGTTGTTGTCGATTAATTTATTGCCTATTTGCTCTTCAGAGCAGCTGGAAAAGAATTATTTCGCTGACACAGTCAAAGCCAGATGCACTCAATGGGCCATTGAACATAATGTTCTTGAGTAAGTTATTCTTAACAGTATTATCACTCAAATACATGACATATTTGATTGAGGCACATTTTTGTCTATATCATAAAGTATAGTGGTTTAAGTATTTTATTAAAGTTTAAGTTTTGTCTCTACACTTGATTCGAAACTTGGTATGTTCCTGAGATCTCAGATTTTAAGTATTTAAATATGAATATCTTCCCGAAAATTAGTTTTTCAGTTACTGTACATATCACTGAAGAGATTATTTACCTTTCCAGTCCGTTTGACAATCTCCTCTGCAGTGATTAATGAAAATTCCTGATTCCACCCGTGCTATTTTGTTAGCCGCAGTAGTTCATTCCCACAAAGGTTTAAGGCGCCCTTGAATTCAATCATTTATCATACTTATTCCAGAAGTTATATGTCTAGTTAAGTATACAGTGGCGATCGAGTTTATTTCAAGCGACAGTACCACTTACACTGATCTGATTTTGAAAATTTAACGAGACACTATGAATACCACTGTAACGCATATCCGAATGGTATTTATATAACAGATCTTTTTGATGTAGTTGTGTTCTCTGAGCTGGATGGTTTATTTGCGAAGCTTTCATTGCCCTACTATGCAGCATCTTCAGCGCATATTTCAAACTGAAAGCTTAGCAAATAAACCATCCAGCTCAGAGAACAGAAATACATCAAAATCACTCACCTGAGCTACAAATCTTCTCCATTATAATATTTCGCTTGCATTCATAACTAACCCTTACAAACCAAACTATAGAAAATTAATCTGATGCTCGCTAGTGACTTGCCACAGGATGGAGTTTCCTGGAGTTCTAGTGAGAAGTCGCGACCAGTGAGGTCTAATTAGATGTTACGTGTGTGCATGGATGTCCCACCAACGACAATGGTTGGGGTCGCGCTAAATCACGTATGTGTAGAAGTTAGAATTCATGGGATGGCCATTGAATCCCATCCCAGTGGCTGAATGGTATACGAGCTTGCCTTGTAACTGGAAGGTCCTGGGTTCGAATCCCAGTGGGTGCGTACCACCGATGATTCCCAAACTAGGATGAAACAGCAGCTGTTCAGTACTCCCTGGTTTTCAATGGTTCTCTAACTGATATCAATCCGTGATCAACTCGTAAAATTCATAGCAATAATTAAACAAGCCTTATACATATCAGTATTCGTAGATCCAAGTGAAATTTCTGTCTCAGAATTCTCAACCGTGATTAAATCTTTGATTCTGCGAATGTCAATGGAACATTCATAGAAGATTTGTAGGATAATCCTCGAGACTACTGAATTAAGATTTTCAGTAATATGGTGAAAATGCAGTCACAAATTAAAACACAATTTGTTTTCACTTTATTATTATTATTTGAAGAGTACAAAAAGGAGCTGAAAACAAAAATAGGAACTAACTCGTGCACATATGGATATTTGATCCACCTATAAAGGTGATTCAGGCTCTCACATTTTATCCGGATGCTGAGAAAAGTCGAAACAGTTCGTGAATCGCTGACTGCATACGAATAACTGTCAACCTATGCATGCTTTTCTTCACTTCCACTTAATACTAAGAACCTTGTTTTACTGATGTGGATAATAAATGAGTCCGACGTTGGACAGTGTCACTCGCAATGACAACACGTTGTTAAGGCATTTAGAAAGGTCGACTCTGACAGCATAATTTCTGATTAGATGAGAGATATGTCACTTGTCGGTAGGGAAGTTAAACACTGTCGCTTAATTAGAAACTGTTTCTCACTCAGTAATCTGAATCACTCATCACAATGATAATAACGAACATTAAATCATGAAATTCCAAAATGTCATTCATACGTATTTTAATCGAATCCTTTTCAATCATAAAAGCATAGACTGCGATGATATATGGCAATCGTTTGAAAAGATTTTACATGACGCGCGTAATCAGTCAGAATGTGTTATGCAACCCACAGCATACGATGAATTTGTCGAGAATGCATTCAAAAAACAACCAAAGATAGAAAATGTAAGTATACGTACGTCACCTTTAGTTTGTAATAAATGTGTATATACAATGTAAAGCCTTTGAAGATACATAGAAGATTCATCTAAATTTGATATTTTTCAAGTATTAAGTGTTGCTTTAGTAAGCGTACATATTTTGACAAAACTGAGCGCAAGTATTTTATGCGATATTACCATTGGAAACATGAAATCAGAGTGCCTAACGTGGTATTCATTCAAAAAAATAGCCACTGGTCAACATTTAATTTCCACAAAACAGTGAGTATTTGAAAAAGAGCATGTGGTAGCTTACCACAGTTTGACATCACCACTTTAGCTGTTATTCTGTCTCAGGTAGTTCATGAAGGTATTTTCTTTTAGATGAATTTATTTACGGTGAATATCATTTGTTATTTTATAATTGTTTCCCTTAGTTCCTGGAGGAACATAGGGCTTCAGCCAACCGTCTCCATTGGGTTCGCTTCTCTGCCAACGTTTTCACCTGTCTCCACGTCTGTCCACGTCCTTTCATCTCCTCTTCCCATCATCTCCTCCACTCCATGTCACCTTCGCATTGATGACCAACTTATCACTTCCCATTCGGGTTCCACTGGAGAGCGATGGTCTGGCGTGTGATGTCACTTGATGGTTTGCTTTCTCAGAGTACTGCCAGTCAATCCACCTCCATTTCTTCCTGAATATTTATTGCACAGTTGATTCCTACTGGGTTGGTTCGCTCACTGCCAGAGATCCCTCACTATTGCTGATCTTTCCTGACCGGCCATCTGATCTTGAGTATTGAGCGAAGGCAGCTGTTAATGAAAGCCTGTAGTTTGTTTGAGGTGCTCTTCATGACGCGCCAAGTCTCTGATCCGTATAGTTAGTAGCACAGACTTCACATTGGAGTTAAAAATCCGGATCTTATTATTCATGCTAAGTGCTGTTGATCTCCACACAGACTTGAGAGTAATGAAAGTTTACCTTGCTTTCCCGATCCTCACCAGTTACGTCCGCCTGTAGTTGAAACGATGCTTCCCAGGTGGGTAGGTGGGCAGGTGAAGGAGGTTGTTTCCTTCAGATTTCTCCAATTTGTGCTAATTGTTGTCTGTTGTTGTTGTTTTCCTGTCGCTGTTGGCCAGGGATTTCCGTCACCTCTGTTTTCTACATGTTCATCTGAAGGAGTTCCTATGTTCGATGCTTCTTCTGCCAACTTTTTGCTTTTCACTTACATATCTTCCAGTGTGTGGTGAATATCATTTAGTACTGAGTAAATTAAAATATAATCTTTCCCACTCTTTGAACTATTAATATCTGTTATTTAGAGTAGTAATGAAATATGACTCACTGAAGAAGATAAAATGCAAATTAACCTGATAATTTATAAGAAAATGCGGTGAAGCTATTTCCTACGTTTTCTGTCGATATGTTAATCTTTACATAATTATTATTCTTGTTGTCATCTTTCCCTTGGGTCCTCAGTGGAACATTGGGCTTCAGAAGATCCTATTCTCCGTGGTCCTCTTTAAATGGCCCCACGATTGGCCATAACCTCTCACCTCCTCCTCCCACGATCTCATCCATGTCACCCTTAGACATCCGCCCAACTCGTTATTTCATTTGAGTGATTGCCTGGCATGCTATGTCACTCAACAATCTGCTTAAAGTGTGCCCGATCCATCTCCGTTTCTTTCAACATATTTGCTGGGTAGGCAATAGGTTCTTGATTGGTTTCTTCCTATAGTTTCTTCTTACTAATTCATTCTGATCTCCAGTGACGGCAGTTATCGATAAAGCCTGAAGTCTGAAGCTTGTTGCGGACGCTTTTCATCACGCGCTTAGGAAAATTTTCTAGTTTAGAAGAACTGAAGAGCTGCTTTATTGCTTGAAAATTTCTACTTAACTTAGCAGAACAAAAGTTTCACTTAGTAACGTTGATATTTTACTTCAGTGACGTTACTTCTGAGATGTAAATTTCACCTAAATTTTTAAATAACTAACTATATTTTATGATATGTTACTCTGTCCTTTCTAGATAAACATCCAACGAAAACATCAAATAAAATACGTTGTTGTTTTGAGACGTGCATCGGTGGCGCAGCGGTAGAATGCTCGCCAACCACGCCTCATGTGGTCTGCGGTTCGATCCCCGGCCACCGACACACCCCTTTACCTCGCTAAGCCAGAAATAAGTTTGGTAAAGAGGGAAGGTTGGATATGGGGCTAGCAACCCCATCCCACCACTGCTATGGAAACTTCAAGCCTCTATTCTGAAGCCCTATGTTCCACTGGGAACGTAAAGGAATAAAAATAATTGTGTTGAGACATACAAATGCTAAAGTTTATGGAAATATCTTAGGCAAACAGTTTAATAAAAAACAAACTGTGAACACAAACAAGTATAAACGCTAAATTTGTGAGCTATCATGCCAGCGACAACCATCTGTCTGTTAAAGGTCCATAATTTATATATGTGGAAGGAAACACGTTTATTGTTGGATCAATACATGTGTATCAATTTCGAAATAAGCTTTTGTCCACAATTAAGTTTTGCACACTGTACTATCTGTTAATGTGGTTCGTGTTCAGTGACAGCACTATCCTCAATAAAACGATCTTCGAAGTCATCTCTATTCATCTTCATAATATTGAATACGAATATGACTCAATTCATAGCGCTGCGTTCTCCAATTAAGTAATTAGGCAAACTTGAGATATACATAAGACTGTCTAAAAGCGGTTGATTTCTCTCAAATTTACAATACAGCTTATTGTTATGTCAATTCCTACACGCCAGGAGCTAGAACATGATTCTGGATATCCTCTGTGGTTAATACACCAAATCTAGCTGAATGCATGTTTTAAATCAACTACAAAAGGCAATACGTAAGCTCTGCTATCTCACTATCATGCTCAACACATACGCCATTGTGAATTCGGAAAAGAATCTGATGTGGAAGTATTCATTCTCCTGCTCATGGATAGCAGAGTAGCTTGAAACGGAATTTTCATGTTTCGTCTCTAACTTCATGTGTCCCACAGCTTTTATATGTGAGAACATGTTGTGGATACTCGTAGATTTCTGGTAGAGTAATAATCCGGGAAACTAATATAGACAACATTCTTTTACCGCCTACATACTGTCAGTGTTGGTGATAAGATGTTCCCATATCACTTGTGTTTACAGACAGAATCCTTTTTAAATACTTATCCTTCGCTTAGTGGTCTTATTTTGCAGTAGATAATTCACGTCCAGTCTGAATTTATGTTACACATTCTGAGTATTAACCACAAACCGGTTTATAAACACATGGTGAAAAGTTTTTTTATATGTAATATAGAATATTTACTCCAAAGTACTGCGGGCTAGAGCACAGATCTTTCTAGCCGTCTAAAATCAGACTGAATTGTAGTTAATCAAGGTAGAATTAACATTACTTTCTATGCGTCACCATGCTATGTGTCAGCATATGAAGTAAATGTTCCAGTAATCCTCTGTATTGATTTCTTGAAAGCATAGCCTTATCAATACTAATTATATTGCCATAATCTAAATCATCACACGAAAGATCTCCCTGTTATGCACACACATGACAGTGATTTCTGTGTTCTATATTTGCATGTATAAAGATAACTGAAAATGTTCCGTAAATTTTCAAATATGACTCCCCTCCCCCAGAGATCAGCCGAATGACTGAGCAACTACGTAGAGGTTGAAACAACAGTTCACTGGACCTTACAACGGATGGGGTGTAAAAGTACACATATGTGAACAGCTTCACACCATGATTTTTTGAACGTGCTCCAAGAATTCTAGGTTCACTAAGGATAATCATATGTGCAAATAAGAAACATTGTTAATAATAACAATAATCTACTTTATTCCAAAAGCAGTACTTATAATACAGAATGGAATTCTCAGCATTTATCACGACATTGAATCTGATTTACTTAAAATATAAATAAAAATAAAGATTAAAAAAAAAATTAACCAGAAGAATTTGTCCACATTTACGATATAAAGTCAAACATATTCGAAGTACGAAGTGAGAATATTAAATATAATAATAATAATAATAACAGTGAGTTTGTTCCAAACAGTATTGTGAATTCAGTTTGAAAATTTTAGCATGTTATAGAGTATTGAATCTAATGTTCTGTTGATACAGCATGGTGAGGGGAAATACAAGATTAACAGTTATAATATAGCTTAAATGATGTTCACACTTATGAAAAATTAAACAAATAAAAACAAAAAATTGCGAGGATTATAAATATAAGAAGAACAATAACAATAAAGATTGCTGGAATAAGGATGGTGAAAATGGTTTATTTACTAGTGCGAAGAAGGTTAGTTAGTTAGTTCGTCCCTGACACTGTTTTCATCAAATAAAGTACGTGCAAAATATGGTTGGTATTGTGGAATTTTTCTACTTAGACGTACGTGCATAAAGTCTTCTGAAAATACTTCTTGTTTTACCTGAGGAGACACAAGGTTGGAGATGTAGGTAAAGTGAATGCTCACAGTCTGAAAAAATTTCTTTAGCAAATTTGTTGCATGACATCAAGTGCCTGTCAATGACGATGTCAACGATATGGTCAAAAAGGATACCACTCGCACTACTGACAGTCAGTCTTCAGAGTTCTACGAAGTATGACATAGTCTTTTTTAAGCAATCCAGGAAAGAGTAAGCGTGAACAGTAAAAAATAATAGGTAGGATGCATGAGTTGACAAACCGTAAGAGGAGGGTTTGGTTGAGTTATGCCTGGGTGCCTCAACTTCTTAATATAAAAATTCAAACGAAATATTCTTTTAGAAATAGCTAAGACATGTGAAGATCAGGATAGGTCAGAAGAAAGAATTAATCCAAGATACTTAACTTCAGACTTGATTTCTATATCTTCACTATCATCAATTTTGCAAAAGTCATAGGAACCAACAGTGTGTAAAACAAAAACCATTCCTTCTGTAACATATTTTATAGATAATATTTACCGGTCGACTGTTTATTAATAACCAATATTCATCAAAAAAATTAATTTTCACAAAGTTCAAATAATCACCTGAGATCACTTCACATTCAAACTTTTCAGGGTAGCTGAAATCAGATCGGTAGTTTTGGTCATTGTCTTACATTCAGCCTCCCACTGCATTAAAGCTGAGCAAATAAATTTCAGTTCTCAGTATTTGGTTTCATTGAATACCTGCATCACTTATTCGGCATTAACTAAATAACTATAGAATGGAAATTCATGGATGGAGTTTGAATTTACACGTGTGAAAAATTCCCTTATTGCATTAAATCAATGTAGGTGGTGGTATTAAGTAGTGGAATATATAAGTAGAATAACCATTTTCAATCTATTTTAACTTCATTGCATTACATGGGTTTCATTACTCACTCATTTCCTTTAAAATGTCACTTACAGGCACACTTTTATTCACAAGCATTCGATGTTATTCGTGCAATGTGTAGACGTCTTGGAGAATGTTCAAGTCTAGAAACCACACTTCCAGGTGAGTGAATATACACGTACACACACATACACAGTTGTCTGTCATTTTCCTTGATTCATACCATTTGTCGATATATTCCACGCTTTCATTAAACCAGGGTGTGATGTTAACAAAATCAGGCTAACTCTGCTGACAAGATAAATTTACTATTATCTCAGCTTAGAACGGATTTACAGTAATATGTGGTTAAATATTAGTTACCCACTTCTCGAAACATCTAAAAGGAAATAAGAAAGAGAATGTCCAAAAGCAGGTCAGGAAATGATACTTTCATGTAGTTAGTAAATAACTGACCATTGAAGAAACCTAACCAATGCGTTTTCAAGCTCATTCACAAATATAACTGATGTTAACGAGAATCTTAGAATGAAATTGTAAAATGAAACTGCTCAGTTGTAGACTGTAGTTAATCTGACTCCAAAAATCATAATTTTCAAGTGACATGTTAAAAGACAAACGGAGTAATGAGTTTTTAAAAAACAGTCTTAATTTCCAAGAGTTGATTTGTAAGGATTAGATTTGTTTTTTTTGCGAGTTTGGCCACGGATTGATATCAGTTAGAGAACCATTGAAAACCAGCAGGGAGTACTGAACAAATGTAATCCTTACAAACCAACTATCGAAAATTAATCTGATGCTCGCTAATGACTTACTACGGGACGGAGTTTCCTGGAGTTCTAGTGAAAAGTCGTGATCAGTGAGGTCCATACAGTCGGGAGTGCGGATGAATTTCCCGCCAATGACAATAGTTGGTGGTCAGTTATGCTAAAATCACGAATAGGTAGAAGTTAGAATTCGTCGGTTGGCCATTGAGTCCGGTCCCAGCAGGTGAATATTATACGATCTTGCCTTGTAACCGCAAGGTTCTGGGTTCGAACTCTGTTGGTGGGTGAGTTCTGTCGAGGATTCCCAAGCAATAGGATGAAACAGTCGACCAGTACTCCACGATGGTGATTTTCAATGGTTCTCCAACTGATATCAATCCGTGATCAAACTCGTAATAACAGCCTTAAGTAGTCTGAACACTGTCAGCAAGAAAGATCAAACAGAAAACTTACTCCTTGAAATGATCAACCTTTATTTTAAGTCATTGTGTATACATTAGTCTTCCTCAGGTAATTGATGGTGAATATACACAGCAGATTTATAAAATCTGCTGTGAGATTACGATCACAAATGCCAACCATCGCACAAACATCATGATAAAGTCAAGATATAATTGGATTTCTACTTCACGTAGGGTCACTTCAGCGTCATGTTTATACAAATCTTTCATAATAAATACAGTGAAATAAGCTTAATTGCAACATGCTACATACAAATAGTATGTATGGCAAGCCGACATTAGAAGTTAACTCCTTACTTCTTCTAAGCAGGATAGTACCTTCATCTGGTGAATGAGCAGAGTGTCGACAGAAATCTTGATGAGCATAAGGAGATAATAGCTCATTTCTGACGTTTCGGGTCTATAGAGCTTTTGAAACAACTCTTAATCCCCTACTTTCAGATACCTACCCAACCAGATATTTTCCTATAGAAGTGAAGACAGTTTTCAGTAAAGAAAATAGTTTCGGAAATAGAAATAACTTTTTTTTCTGTCATTACCTTTGAACACCTGCCAAGATGGTTATCTTTATTGATTTACATTAGAATGAATTTATTTTTTTGTTGAAAAATATCTGGGAGCTGAGAAACACCTCATCTAATGAATTTGAATAACTTGTATGAACACTCGACAATGAAGTATTATAGTGAAGAAGCCCTAAAACTTGTACTAGGCATGATCTTCTGAGCAATATTTTGGAGTCATGAAACCAGTACTGAACAATCGGCAGATATGTTAAACATCTTGAGTGCCTGATTTTTAATTCACTGAGCAAATAGTCCTGACTCTGATGACGTCTCATAGCTAATATGACAGTGGAACTATAATTTTCATTCAAAAGTCTAAAATGCTTTACATGAAGCGCTTTTCTTAAATCTGACGTTTTTTTCAGCACTCAGATATGTATTTTTCTATAGTTGGTTTGTAAGGATAGCGGTTAGGACGCTCGCCGACCATTCTCATGGTCCGGGGTTCGATGCCCGGTCGACGCACACTTGATACCAATGGTTGGCCTGCAAAACTTGGGCTGCTCATATCACATGTTGAAAATTCCATACTTGTACCAAAAATACAGTGTGGAGTTAAGCTACAATATAAATTAAAAAATTAAATTAAAAATAAATTAAAAGTTGTGACCAGTGAGGATGGATGTTCCACCGACGACATTAGTTGGGGGCGCGCTAAATCACGAATAGGTAGAAGTTAGAATTTATGGACTGGCCATTGAGTTGGGTCCCAGTGGCTGAATGGTATATGAGTTTGCTTGCCTTGTAATTGGAAGGTCCTGGGTTCGAACCCGAGTGGTGAGTGCATACTGGCGATGATTCCCAAGCACTAGGATGAAACAGGTCTCCATTACTCCCTGTTGGTTTTCAATGGTTCTCTAACTGATATCAATCCGTAATCAACTCGTAAAAACTTAGATATATATCAAAGATTTCATTAATTCGATGTTGTCCAGTGCATAAACTACTTTAATGAACTGTGACAAAACCACGTCAACTTCAGGATGAATTTCGTAACAAACTGGCATCATTTAGAGCAGCAGTGAAAACCAAGGGGTACTGGACACTTATTCAGTTCTAGTTAAGGACTCTTCGACAGTGTTCATCCACAGCGACATCATATGTCGAACCCTGAACCCACAAATGACGACCTACGAGATGAGAACTTAGTGTTCAATGAATTTTAACTTCTGTCGGCTCGTGATATGCCGCTATAGGAACTATAAAAACAGAATTTCGATTTTTGTATGTTAGAACTAATACGATTATGAAGCAAAAATTGTGTTTAAAACCTTATTTTATTTTGATTATAGCTTGATTCCACACTGTATTTTTGGTACAAGTATGGAATTTTCAGCATGTTATATCGGTAGTCCAAATTTTGCAGGCTGACCATTGATATCAGGTGTGCATAGGCAGGGGATCGAACCCCGAACCATGTGCATGGTCGGCGAGATTCCCACGTGCTGTTCCATCGACGCACACAATAAAGGGAAGACCGTGAGGACTCCTCACTACACGCTCGAGCCTACCGGATTAGGGTCCGTCGTGAGTTTCAACCCACCGAGATGCAATGGTGAGCCTCTACCGGGGGTCAGAGCATTCTTGATCATGCAAGTACAAAACTTGGGCACTGTGGTAGAGTATAACTCCATTATGAATAAGATTTTATTTTGATAAATCACACAGCGTTGTACAGTAATATTAACTGATGACCACGTTTCGAGCACAAATTATTACTGCTCATAATCATATCAAGTTACTCTCACAACTTTTTCCTTCATTTATATACATGTGTGGAATCGATTAAATATTGGAATAAAATTCAATATCTAATCGATTCCACACATGTATATAAATGAAGGAAAAAGTTGTGAGTAACTTGATATGATTATGAGCAGTAATAATTTGTGCTCGAAACGTGGTCATCAGTTAATATTACTGTACAACGCTGAGTGATATATCCAGCAAACGAATTATTTTCTTATTTGTTCAATTGGAATATTCACTTTTAACAGATCACTTACAACATATTTACTCAGCAAGCAACAACACGCTTAATTATGAGCTGATCTAATTTTCTAATTTCAGGATATTTATTCGACGAACTGGATTGGTGTGAGAAAAACTTCACAGGTGATGCAGACTATGGGACATCGTGTGGTTGCAATGAAACCACTAAAGTGGTATTTGCATTCTGGGAAAGTGCATCTAAAAAGGTACATCTTTACTATTTTTGTTACATTTCGAATTTTTTTGATACCTTTACTTTTCCAGAGGAACATACGGCTTCAAGATGGAGGCTTGAAGTTTCCGTAGCAGTGGCGTTAATTTTGCGGGGTTGAGGTTGCTAGTCTCCTGCCAAACCTACCGTCTTTACCAGTTTTATTACTAGCTTATGGAGGCAAAGGAGTGTGTCGGTGACTGGGGATCGAACGCCAGACCATAAGAGGCGTGGTTGGCAAGCATTCTACCGCTGTACCACCAACGCATTCCATTTCGAATATATACATATATATGCATAGGAAACGAGTTTCACTCAAATAATTTTCGATTTCGATAAACCTGACAAGAGTATGAGATGTATTCTGGTTTTAGCTACAGTCAAATTTATATACTTTAAAAAGTACATTTACCTTTGATATTCTCAAATGTGATCATTTTCAGACCAGTTTACCGAATGAAATTTGTTGAACTACTTCTATCAGTATAACTGAGGTTTCTAAAAACATCACTTTCTACATCTGATTTTCTCTTGTGGTCAAAATTTGCTGAAGTACTAGGTATAATCTCCATCTCGTTCTAGGTGGGATACAGGGATTAAAGCTTGTGGCTTGAAGTTTCAACAGCCACCTTGTTGTTTTTAAGGGGTGAGGTTGCTAGCCTCAAGCCCAGCTTACTCTTTTTATTGATCCTACTATCGCCTAGGCGAGATTCAGGAGTGCATCTGCCTGGAATCGAACACTGGACCAGGTGTGTGGTTTTGCGAGCGTTCTGCTAATGAATTACTAAAGCAGCAATTGCAAGACTAAAGTAGTGGGATTATTGCTCTGTATTTTCTGTTGCTAATTCATCTAAATAACTAAATATGCCAATATCAATTGGAATCAGTATGAAAATGCATCTTGCCGTTTTTAAAACCATTAAGTCTCCCCCTCATCATAATTTTATGCGACATTTACAAACAGTATAAATGTATATGTATGAGAAATTAGGATGTCACCTGTATTTTTTATTGGATACTAGTCAGTAACTAGCGTAATGTGTCTAGTCCTTTGTTTTGATGCAGACTGTATTTCATCAGTCAAGTTTGCGATGTGGCCACTATGCCACTAGGTAGCTCACCATTGCAGTACACTGTGAATTGTTGATATTAGATAGTTGAAGGCAATCGTCAGGAAGCCTTGAATCTAAGTTTCATGCTTGTTAGCACTGGGCACTGACAGCGAACCACCTAGTATGGTTACGACATTACAAGCGTGACTGACATAATCCGGTTTGCACCGAACAAAAGCCTAGACACATTACACTAGTTACTCACCAGTGTCCGGTCTAAAATATCCAATATAGTCCTGTAGGAGGTCAATCGTGAGCCTAAATAGCTCAGCGGTGGTAATGTCTCTGACTGCAGCATTCACTGGCTGATGAAGGTTCGGATCTCAGAAGAGACAGGAGTTCCTTCCAGGTTGAAGATACGATTTGCTGACTGATGAGTGCCTGCTAGCAGTTAACCTAGGTCCCAGGCTTCCTACCGACTGCCTCCAACCATCTAATATCAGCAGTATGTTTAGCTGACTACTTGTTTCTTACTAGTAATGATGGAAGTACAAAGAGTTTGACAATATACTGACATATATACTGTGTTTTTTATATGTTTACACTTTTACTGTTAGCTTATTCTGAACTATAATTGTAGCCACACACTGGTATCTGACTTCCTATTTGCTGTATATTCCAGAGTAGAAAATAAAAGAAGTATTCCTAGGCTCAACCATTCTCATTTTCAGCATTTATCGTTCAGACGAGATATAAAACATATCAGAAAATGTCCTATTTTGATGTTTGCATATTCTATGAAAGTTAGACAAATTATATATCCCAATTGAAATGCTTCTCTTATCCTCTCGTTTGATTATAGTATGCACAAATAGTATCTGGTAACGTGTTTGTTGTTCTGAATGGATCAGTCGCGTGGCCATTTAAAGAAAACGGGTAAATTTCAGTAATATAACTGTATTCAGTAGTATATTCATGATTATTGTAATTTCGTAAGTCAGTGAAAAGTAGGAATGCATAAGTCAGCCAAGAGGTCTCTTGTCGTAACTTCACTTCAAATATCAAGCTGTGAAAATCAGTGAATGGCGTTTACTCACATACACTTCCACTTGTTTTGTTACTAACTTCCATAAACCTCTGATCTCCGCTGTCAGTTAACACTGCGCATATATACATAAATCCTTAAATAGCTGTACAGGTTTGAAGGGAAATTACGAGGGAATGTCTGTTTGCTGACTTATGAATTCTTAATTACGTCACATGGGAATGCCCCGTACCTATCGGTGATAAGTGATACATATACATATTATTATTAGGCCTTAAAAAACAAAATTCAGCGAGGCGTTTGGAGTAAACACAGGAGTCAGACAAGGGTGCGTTTTTATCACCAGTGATATTCCTAATTGTGGTGGACTGGATTATGCGTCAGACAGGGAGAATCGAGAAGACAGGGACCGACGTCAAGAACCTAGAAGACCTGGATTTCGCGGATGATTTATGTTTGATGTCACACAAAATCGAAGACTTACAAGCGAAAGCTGAAAAACTGGTCGAAGAAGCAGCAAAGACAGGACTGACTCCAGGTGAACATAGACAAGACGGAGGTTATGAAAATAACCAACCAACAACAACAACAACAGCAGCAGCAACATCCACTGACAATCACCATCGACGGGAGGGATTTGAAAGAGGTTACTTCATTCATTTACTTATCTAGGGAGCATTGTCTCAACTACAGGAGGAACGGACGAGGATGTCAAATCGAGAATCGGGAAGGCGAGAAACACATTCATCAAACTGAAACCAATCTGGAAATCTTCGTCACTCAACTCAGCATCAACAACAAAATTCGGATTTCCAATAGAAATGTCAAGTCAGTTCTTCTATATGGATCAGAAACTTGGCCAGTGTGTCACAAAGAATATTTCCAACAGCCTGTTGCAGACCTTTATCAACAACTGTCTTCGCTCTATACTGAAGATCAGATGGTTGGAAAGAATCACCAACAAGAAGCTATGGGAACAAACAAAACAAGAAGCAATCGCTCAACAAATATGCAGGAGAAAGTGGAGATGGATTGGACACTGGCTGAAGAAGCCGCTGGGTGACATCACACGTCAGGCCATAGCTCGAGTGGAACCCGAAAGAGAAGCGGCGAGTAGGACGTCCAAGGGTGACATGGAGGAGATCGTGTGAAGAAGAGTTGAAACATTGTGGACTAACATGGATGCAAGTGAAAATTACAGCAGAATACAGAAGCAAGTGGAGGCGTGTAGTTGAAGCCCTATGTTCCACTAGGAACCCAAGGGAACAATAATAATATATAAGAAACAAGTCACTGTTCCTCACTCATTTGTGATATGTGTACTCGAGCAAGAAGAGAAACGCTATCTGATGACTAGTCAACACTTACTTTGTAGTTAAAGGGCCTAAAAAATGCTGAAATTTACTATTAAATTACCTTCTCAGTATTTCTTTTAAATAAGTTTTATAATCTATTGTGAATTATTGTTTACGAGACAGTTTGTCCTGTGCTTAAGAGGTACGTTAAAATTAGTGGAAAACGAGTAACTGTGGTTCTACACTTTGTCTTCTTTCTGAATTTCCAATCTAAATCCACATGTGATTCATTGTGACAGTGTGTTATAATCCAGTGTTATCACGTAGTTAAGTAAAAGGCACCGGTCTCCATTTCTCTCCTCTGTACTGGTGCTTTATTTCATGTGGGTGAGTGAGTGAAGTTGATATATTAAAAACTTGATGTGACAAGGTGAAGACCTCTGAATTTAATTAATGAAATGTAACAGCGAACGAAAGAAATAAAGCAACCTCTCACTACTATTACTAAGAACCATTTACTTACTCATTAAACGGTTAGGCTATAGAAATCTGAATACATTATAGGATCTTTATAAACTGTTATTGGACATCACTGAAAGGTCTGTTGATCTCTGCAAAACATGTAGTATTTCTTGGAGTTTATCAATAAATTATATAAGATGCTGAAGGTTAACTCGATGTTAGAAGTTACGGCATTATCGACTTCACAAAATCGTGACTGACATCCGTTTCGCAAGATATGGCTCACTTTTCCAAGTGGCATATTAGATAACGCTGTGACGTTTGAAATGATATGTTCTGATTTTGAGTCTCAGCGGCCACACCATCACGCATTGGTAATGCAAGTAAATCAAGCTGCTGCTCCCCCCAAACCGGATCAAACATCAGTCCTAGGTAACACTGTTAGCCAGCATCAACCCAAACCACAACATATTGAGTCTAGTTGAATGTGTTTATTAATAGATATTCGGAAAATGTGAGAAACATGAAAATGAAAAGCGCAAAACCTATGACTCGCTTTGTTGTTAACAACATAATTTTAGGCTCTTTTATTTCTCTCTTATTTTGTATTCTATAGTGAACTCCTTCTTAAACATACTTAGCTACCTAAATTATTAACATTGACTTACATTTTTTGTACTTTACTCTATTCCTTCTTTTGTGTATCTACTGGTCCCGACTATATTAGCACTATGAGTATTACAAAATTGTCCTGCCATCGACCATCATGTAATTATTAGTTTTTGTGGTTGTTGTTGTTTTTTTGTTCGGCAATATTAACTGATAATCTTGGTTGTGAACGCCATTACCACCATCTTAAAATTTTGTATTATGCAGGATTACTCACACTACCATTACAAACACCTCATTAGAGCCGACAAAAAAAAACCCTGAAATGTTATTTTATGATTGTTTAGTGTTGTTTCAACCTAAATTAACTGATCGCCTTGGCGATAAACATTCTTAAATCTCATTTCATAACTTCTTGTATGACTACAGCTTTACTATCACCATGCATAATCATTTCAAATTAACTGATCGTGTTGGCGATAAACATTCTTAAATATCATTTCATAACTTCTTGTATGACTACAGCTTTACTATCACCATGCATAATCACATCATAGCTTCCCTTGGGTTCCTAGTGGAACATAGGGCTTCAACTAAACGTTTCCACTTGCTTCTGTCTTCTGCTGTACTTCTCACCTGCATCCATGTTAGTCCATACTGTTTCAACTCTTCTTCACACGATCTCCTCCATTTCACCCTTGGACGTCCCACTCGCCACTTCTCTTCCGGGTTCCACTCGAGCTATGGCCTGACGCACGATGTCACCCAGCGGCCTCCTCAGCGAGTGTTCAATCCATCTCCACTTTTTCCTGCATATTTGTTGGGCGATTGGTTCTTGTTTTGTTAGTTCCCATAGTTTCTTGTTGGTGATTCTTTCCGGCCATCTGATCTTCAGTATAGAGCCAGCGAAGACAGTTGTAGATAAAGGTCTGCAACAGGCTGTTGGAAATGTTCTTGGTGACCCGCCAAGTTTCTGATCCGTATAGCAAAACTGACTTGACGTTTCCACTACACAATACTGAGATATTATTTTATGTTATTTATTTTCCTTTCTACTTCTTGGTATTTTTTCGCATTTTTTAAATTATTTTGTGTTTTTCCTGTCTTTTTTGCTGTTGTTGTCTTTATATCAATTTTTTTTGAAAATACTCCTTTTAAACGTTGGATAAAATTAGATGCAAATATTGTAGATATGTGCTGAAAATTCCACACTGTACCACTAGTACTGTTTCTGGAATAAAGCAAATTATTATTATTATTACAAACTGTATGGAAGGATTTGAGTACAGAGCTACATCGTGCCAGTTTAATAAAATGGAAAATATACACTCAAAAAACAGGATTTTATTAGTCTGAGCATTGTAGTGCTTGGAAATAAACTCAGATACCTAACCAACCAGCCACACTTTGCATGACCTGTTGTCCAACTTATTGAAAAACGACAAAAATGGTAAGCTTTTTCATGCAAGAATGTTTCAGTCATAGATGAAACAGAAGACAATTCATCGGGGAGAATTTTCATGATCGATGAAGTCACCTTTCAAAGGCGTGAAGTTGTATTCATATTAGGGCTGTGGGGGTATGATGTTTCTGACTTAATGAGTGAATAGACAAATTTAAATTTTCGTCAATATGAGTACGACTGCAAAGACTTTGAACGTGACTTCATACATCATAGGTACTTTCACCCCTGAATCACGTTTTGCTTTATTCATGACCCATTGGGTATTTTCCTGGTGTCTTTCAATACTTAGACCTTCAAACATTTCAAATTTTTCTGTGTTTCATCCTTATCTTTCCAAGTACCTTTGCCACTGTGGAACTTCCAGAACTTTTAAAAACGAAAGTGCAAAAAATAACCGTTAAATTAATTCACAACACACGAAAGTCGCCATATCAGTAAGTTTACGCATTTTGTAATATTATAAGACGAGTGTTATGTAATTCTTTTTCCCAGTGTATACTTATGTATGTTTAAAGTAACACCCATCACACAAAACATACTTATAAACAGCTGCTCTAGCCAGAAATGTTGTCCGAAATGTTCAGCAGGAACAGTAATAAGCCAAAGATAAATACTTGTACCTCAAGATTCAATTTTATTGAACTACACAAGGAGCATGTTTTTCACAGTAAGGGAGAAATGTAGGGGTAAACTTAAAACAGGACCTTTCAGTCAATCATTCTTGAATACTCCCTCAATATTTTCCTATATTTAATAATGTTAAATGATACCTCGATAAATCGACAGATTATTCTAATGAATCATTCCTAAACACACAGTATAAAATCGACACATATGATAGAGACGATTTGTAGCTCAGGTGGATGATTTTGATGTGGTTGTGTTCTCTGAGCTGGATAGTTAATTTGCGAAGCTTTCATCGCCCTACTAGGCTACATCTTCAGCGCATACTTCAATTTGAAGTGAGCTTTTAGATTTCTCCACGAGTTTATTAATCACCTCTCCTGGTGGGTAACCTTGAACGTGACTGGTTGATTTGTGGGTTTTCACACCTTCTAGGTTACTTGTATTGGAACTGATTGTTTCTTTGACTTTGACCCTTTGTGTGTGTGTGAGGTTTCTTTCCTATCGATTGATAAATTTTGTCGATTTCGATGTGTCTATTGATTGATGATTCATTGAAATGCCAAGCTTCTAAAAATTCTCTAGCATTCTTGTTTTTTCCTCTGTCTAATATTTGAACGCTGGTGGTCCCAGTCGAATAGATATCCGTGGTTGTCTGATTGTAGTTATATGAGGGAGTGGATATCATGTCTTTTGACGGCTTGCTTATGTTCGTGGATGCGAAGACGAAGGGGACGTCCACTTTGGCCAATGTAGTGTTTTTCGCAGTTATCGCATTTTATTTTGAAGATGATGTTGGCTTTATCTCCTTTCGTTGTTGAGTCTTTTGTTTGACATAGAACTGAGTGAAGTGATTTTGTTGGTTTGTGTGCGACGTCAATTCCTAAAGGTTTGAAGAGTCTTGTAGTGATTTCTGAGATATCCTTTATATATGGTAACGCGATTTTCTGTGTGCTTTCCTTGAGGGCTTTTGGTTTGATAGGTTGGCTTGGGGATGTATATGTCTTTTGATGAAATTCCGTGATATCCATTCTTTTGGAAGACGTCCATGAGATATCTATCTTCAAATTTCCTTAAGGTGGGAGGGATGCAATAATTCCTGGCTGGCCCTCTTGAATAGTGTTTGTATGCAATTCCTTTTGTGTGTTATTGGATTGTTGCTTTTGTCATTCAGTATTTGGTGTGTGTGAATTGATTTTCTATAAACTTGGGTTTCTAATTCCCCTGTGGTTGTTCGCTTGACTAAAACGTCTAAAAATGGGATTTTATTCTCGGATTCCTCTTCTCTTGTGAATTTGATGTCGTTGAAGACGTTGTTTATTAAGTTGTGAGTTTTATCTAACCTTCCCTCTTTACCAGTCTTATCGATGGCTAGTGAGGTAAGGGAGTGCATCGGTGGCCGGGGATCGAATCTTGGACCAAATGAGGCGTGGTCGGTGAGCATACTATCGCTGTGCCACTGACGCACATTTTATGAGTAACTGGTGAGTACTCATGTTAAATACTAGTGCTCAATAACCACAACGAGATGGTCCGAATACTTTCTCTCTAATGTATCACCATTCCGACCAAGTAATTAGATAGAATCCACGTGGAGAGTGAAAGCGATTGATTTCTGTGAGCTGGATTACACCGAATACACTAATGATGAGACTGGTTCTATACTAGGAAACAGCTGCCTCATGTTTAGGTCACCTAATATTAGCAAGTAAATTCTACACGTTTGCACGGTTGACTTCAAACTACTAATTTGGATTAGTAGTAAATAGCGATTTGCATTTCTACTTTTCGGCTTCATTTGATTTGTCGAGTCATTCATGTTTCTGACTTTATCGTGTGTCATCAAAGGGAAGTGTGATATTTTCAAGTATTAGTTTTGTAGGGACTTTTTTGTTTGATTGGTTGGATGATTTCATGATGAGCTGACATCAGTCAGAGAAGCATTGGAAAACTACCTGGGAGTACTGGACTGCCATCTGTTTCGTCCCAGTTTGGGACTCTTTACAGTACGCAGAAGTTAGAATTCATGGACCACTGAATCGTGTCCCAGTGGCTTAATGGTCTATGAGTTCGTTACATAATCAGAAGGTCTTGGGTTCGAACCCTGGTGGTGAGTGCATATCGCTGAAGAGTCCTAAAATATAACGAAACGGCTGTCCACTACTCCCAGGTTCTCCAATGTTTCTCTGACTGATGTCAGCTCATAATTATATACTCCAACGAAAGTGTGATGTATATATATATATGCTTCGACTGTATGATATGCAAGTGAAGATTCTACGTTTGTCGGAAGAAAATATACAAGGAGGCATAATACCTAAAAATGAACCACTTATTAAGGCAAATCACAAGAATGAATAATATTTTGTCATTTTTTACTGACATCGACCTCAGTTTCCCAGTATATATGCCTCTTCATATACTGGTGGTATAGAAATAATTACCTATGCACAGGGGAGTGAAGCCGCCTGACGAGTGAGCATTCTTGAATTACTTGAAATGTGTTTTTCTAAGATGGTCAAAACCCCTTGCTTTTTCAGTAATACTCTGTGAGAAGAGAACAACGAGTGACATTGTAATATCTCAGTCCAATCGACGGCAGTGTGTCGAAGTACAACATTTTCTGCATTAATGGAAATAAAACCTATCACTGTTATAACCTGAAAACTTACCGGTAGCACTAGGAATTTCTTGGCAACCTATTTTACTGCATATCATGTTATGCTTATTTCATGTCTCTCTGGTTCTCTTTTTTTGTAGTCATACATGTGAATCACCGAATATTAAAAAGTTAGAGTCTATAGTGAAGTCGAAAATGATCAGTTATCAGTGTATTAATGATCCACCGTAAGTACAAAGATAATGAGTTTTTCAAGCTGTAAATCGTATTACCTACTTAGAAGATTGATTAAATGAACAAAGAATATTCACTTCGGTAAATCCATCATTTCTTCTTATTATTATTCCCTTGCGTTCTAAGTGGAACATAGGGCTTCAACAACACATCTCCACTTTGTTCTGTTTTCTGCCGTTCTCTTCATCTGGGTCCACGATTGACCAAACTCTTTCATCTCTTCCTCACACGGTCTCCTGCATGTCACCTTAGCACAGACGACCTACTCGTCGCTTCCCATTCTGATTACACTCGAGCGATGGCCTAGCTGGAGATGTCATTCAGCGGCCTCCTGAATGTATGGCTGATCCATCTCCACTTCCTCCTAAACAGTTGTCGAGCGATCGGCTCTTGGTCGGTTTGTTCCCCAGCCAGAGTTTCTTTTTGCTTATTCTTTCTGGCCGGTATTTGATCTTCAGTATGGAGACAGCGAAGGCAGTTGTTGATAAAATTCTGCAAAACAGGCTGTTGGAAATCCTTTTCGTGACACGCTGGCCCGTATAGAAGAATCGACTTCATATCTGTGTTTAAAATGAGGATCTTATTCCTTATGCTTAGTGCAGTGCAGAAGATTTCCAAATGATAAATGATAATCAAGTATTCAAGTATATTTACATAGAACTGCACAATACTAGTTAACTGAGGTAAGTAGTAGTGTGACGAAAGCTAGCTGCAAGCCAAAAATTGTAGACAACAATTTACGTCAATGTTCACGTCCCGAATCGGGATCATGAGAAAAAACAAAAACAAAGCGTAACCTTGATGAACTCATCAACCAATCACAGAACACTTGACATGGGCGGATACTGTTCGCTAATATATGACCGAACTGCCTAGGAAATGGCCACAAAGAGATGACAGAATAACCTTCAGCAAGAAAACAACCAATCAGAAGACGTTGCTTCTCTGCTGACAATAACGAATAATAGTGTAAATAAAAATCAATAAACATCTGTTGATTTTCTCAGTAAACGATCTGTTTGGCTGGTCCTTGTCTTCTGCCGTTACAGTAGTACACCACTCATAGTAGTACGTACTAGCCAGCCGGATGGAGGTGATATAAAAACCCAATGATCATTTTGCTCGTTTAGAACTCGCCACCAGTTTACCTGGATGGACGCAACTCAGACAGCGGAATCAGTTCAAGACACCCGATTTCTGGCTAGCGACTTGGTCAAACTGGTATGCCCTTAAATCAAGTTTACAATTTTCCAATCGGTTAGCAATCCAGCATCCACACACTTCGGCGGTCCAATGTTCAGATAACCTCAATCTGGCTGTGACTAACAAGCACTACTGGTTGATATGAGTGAGTGATATACACATACTCATCTCAATGAATCAGTAGTATATAGTTTTATGAATAAATTCTATTTGAATCGAATGGATTGCATGTCTTCTTGATTTACATTTTTTACACTTCTTGTTTTCCAGTGAATTCAAACACTTCTTATGCATCAATGACCAAACCAGCAAAGAATGTCGATTTTCAAGTTCTTCAAGACGTACATCATACACATATCTACTGCTGTCAAGTTGTTTATTCCTGTATTACACTTTCACTACCTTCAGTAGCATAAAATAATCCTATTCTTATCGACAAATTTTATTTCAGCTATTCAGGTTTCACTTCTGCTGTTGTTTGTATTCAGCGTTCACCCTTCATAGTGTAAGACATCATTTGTTTGAATACTCCCATTTTCATAATTGAATCTTGTCATATTTGAGATTGTGATAGCTTTTTCGACAAATCTAACCAGACTATTTTGTCATCTTTGTGATTTAATTCAACTGCGCTTCAATCTTTGAATTATCAAAATAAATCCATCCCACCCGTTTTGTAAGATGTTTTACTTTTGTACATAGTTTGTATCAGTAAGCTTTTTCTTCAAATTATCGAAAGTGGTTCTTAATTTA